TCTGGAAAGAGGCTTGAATTTAATCCCAAACTGCTTATCTTTACCAAGTTATTATGTCTTGATTTTCTGCTTCCACAGCCCTGTTTATTTTGGCTTTGGCCTCAGTAAAGATTATCATCATTAATATCAAACAAAAACATTTTAATTGCAAACACACCAAGGATTTCATTGGAAAGCCCAACATGTAATCTGTAGCAGTGGAGGTCACATCAAGTCTTTGGGAAATATTTGCTTTATTTAATGAAGAGACTTCTATAGGCAAACTTATTCCAAACAATTTCTCAAGTTACCCAGCTAAGAGAGATAGAGAGGATTTGGCTTGCAAAGACTGAATAAAATCCATCAACATGTGAAGTCCATGAATTAATAAAAGCATTCTGCTGTTGAGCCATTTATAACACACATCTTACTGTAAATATATGCTAAATTATAAATTAAATGAGCTCACCTAATCAGTTACATTATTTTGTGTTGCATAATAAATCTGAATTTTAAAAATATAAGTGTGCATATATACATTTTAGGGAAAATCCCTATTGATTCTTAGGGAGAACATTATGGGCATCTAATAAGCATAATTAATGGGCATAGACACTACCCAGACATATGTACACATGTTTTGGTTGGATAATTTGAAATGCTTCACTACTTTTTTTTTTTTAAGTTACTACTATAATTTGGAGTTCACTAGCTAGCCAGTCTTAAGAAAGAGCTTTTGGAAAACAAATGTCAAGAAGAGTCAAATTATTCAACAGACCATAAAATGTTGCTTATTAATTTCCTAAGGCAACCTGGGCTCAGTGGAATGAGCCTGTAGTCCCAGCTACTCGCAGGCTGAGGCAGGAGGATCACGTGAGCCCAGGAGTTCAAGTCTGGGCAACAGGGACACACCATCCCTTAAAAAGAAAAAAAAAAAAGGAGGAAAGAAAGAAATTGCCAATATGCCAAGGAGCCTCTTTCATAGAGCATGATGGTTAAAAGCACAGGCTTGAATGCATTGATAATTGCCTGTCTCCGAATCCTGGCTCTATGCAGTACTTACCAAGTATAGGAAACTCTGTTCCAAGAATCTTCTGTAAAGTAAAAGCAACAATGGTACCTCTCTGATCTGTTGTAGGATTACAAGTTAATATTTAAATCCTAAGAATGGCTTATTTATGTTGTTTCTGTTCTCCTTGTTGTCAATACTGTCCCCAGCCAGAGCAAGTGCAGGCTGAAGAAACTATGGCTTTTGATGGAAGAAAAGGGTCTTAGATTGACCAATAAGAAGAGAGCTGGTATCTAGTGTTTATTTTGTGCCATTTTGGCTAAGCACATCACATGTGTTATCTCAGTGAATGTTCACAACCTCAGGAGGAAACGGGACTAAGAATGAGCAGGGTAGCCCTAGATAGTGGCAGCCTGGATTCCAGCTAGGTAGTCAACCCCACATAGGCTCAGCAGTTTGCATCCACTAAATCTCCCACCTGCTTCTCCCAAACCTTTAAAAGAGATTGTATATCAATGTCAGCTTTCTCTATGAATCTTTCTGCATATTAAATGTAGAAGAAATCTGAATTTTCCATATACCCAGAAAACTGACTATTCACCCCAGGAAAAGGCCTTCTTTTCTGAGAGGAAAAGGAGCTCTGTACCTGCAGGGGGCGCTGTCTGTGGTGTTATCTGGAACTTAGGTGGTCAGCAGGAAGGTCCAGCCTTCGGAGGGTTAGGAAGCAAAGGGTGGGCTGGGAAATACTGAATCCGATTTGATTTTCACACCTGAGAACTGAAGACTAGCTGTTGGGGAGGAGGAGGAAAGGTAGAGGTTTAGGGGTGAGGGGAGGGAGTGAAGGTGCCACTTACAGAATCTAAGAGAGAAGTCGCCATTCAAAAGAAATGGCTTCCTGCTCTCCTCTGCCTCACTTCCCACTGTGTTTCTTGGTGGTCGTTTCTTCCTGTGGTTACAGGATAAACAAACCTGGCACACGTTGTAAAATCCGCATGGTGAGGAGCTCCTGGGGCTTCAAGCCTCTCTGGGGCTTTGCTGTTTGGTCCGGCTAAGAGGTTTCATGTGTGTTGTTGTTGTCTTTTGCCTTCAACCATTGAAACCTTCCCTCACTTGAAGCAGCCCTCCCTTCAAAGCAGCCCACCCCACCTCCAGAGACAGACTGCGCATTTCTTTTATCTTTTGTATTTGGAAAACAAACTCAAGCCAAACGAGGCATTGAGGATATTCCAGTCTGCTAAGGACCAGTCTAGTTCAAGAAAACTGGGGAGGAGGCCAGAGGGCCGTCCCCAGGCCAGTGCAGCCCCGGGAACTCCAGATCCACACGGCAGGAACAGAGCCACCAGGGAAGGCTAAGAAGGAATGCAATTGGGGCTAAATCCGCTGAAGATCTTTTCGGGAAATGACCAGAGTTTTGGTGTGGTAATTTCTTGCAACCAAATTTTCCTAGATTGAAAATTCCATTGTTAACTTTGGTAAGTAAATCTCACCCGGATCTCCAGGTATAGGAATGTAAAAACAGAAGGAAAAAGATAAAAGGAAAAAGGACAGATTTCTTCTGGGCACTACTCACTTCCAATTACAAGTGTGAGGTATATGGGAGGTAGAAAAGTATCCAGCTTAACTCAGACGAAGGAAAACCAATTTTCCTCCCTTTCAATTGGCCTTAAAGAAAACACCCAAATAAATGGGCTTGTGTGATATCAAAATTAAAATATGGCTCCTCTTTATTTTTGTACACATGCCTCCAAACATATTTTTTCCAGTTTCATCAAAATTAGGACCCAACTCTGTTCATATAGAAACTTCTTTTTAATATTACAATTCCAGGATCCTCGCACATTTTATATACATCATTCCACATTTAAAATATATTTCTTAGGTTTACATAAAAAATGAAAGTGCTAAACTATTTACAAAAATACATTAAATACCCCTAACATTAAATGCAACGTTCCCACTTTAGACAGGAATGAACTTCTTTTGAATATGGCACAAAAGGATCACTGTAATAAACGTTAATGTATTATAAAACCAAACAACAACAACAACAAAAATAATAAGGAGGCTAGACCTAAGCCACTCGCGGTTCCAAAAAAAAATAAAAGCCCAAAGCCGAAAGGCTTTTTCATTTGAGCGTGCACAACAGTTTTTGAAACGTTTCTTTGTGAATATGTCTCTCTCCCTTTCACCAGCTTTTCGGTCTGGGTTCCTAAATGTTAATGTAACGTGACCTAATTAAAGGATTAGGCCAGGAAGGGTGGGTGGCTGGGATTTTCCTGCTGCGTGGAGAAGGTCTCAAGCGCCGGCCCAGTTACTTCTCCACCACCTCCTCCACGCAGGGGAGTTTGCGTTCCTCCGAGGAAATACTGTCCACGATGGAAGAAAGACATCGAAGGCTGCTCGAGGCTGACGAATCAGTACTTGCTCCTCCTGTGTGCAAAAAACAAACACACAAACAGTACCCAAAGAAGGAAAACGAAGCAACTCCGCGCCCCACGCGAGGCCGCTTTGGCGGCTCAGAAGGGCCTGGTCCCTAGGCGCAAAGAGCGCCCTTTGTGCAGGGCGCGTCCCAGCTCTGGTTTCGAACCCTCTCGGCCCGAGCATCCTATTCCCCTCCCGGATTTTCTCTGGTGCGGCCCAGAGCCCTTTCTTTTGCTTTACCTTCCTTAGCCGTTATCACGAGCCCCCTGGAATGATCGGAAACACTTGGCCACTGGGAGCTGCAGGTGCGCAGGAAATCCGCACCCTCAAGCTGGAGGGAAAACCAAGGCAGCAGAAGATTAGGAAAGAAACGTCGGTTCCGGGGGTGGGGGTAGGGGGAGCTTTCCTGCTTCCTCGGGCCGGGTACGCGTTTCCTGCCTGTTGCAGGCACCCGGTCTTCTTGGGTCACTGGGGGTTCATTAGAGAAGGAGCGGGAGGGGCGGGCGAGCACGGGGGAAGGGAAAAAAGACCAAGCAGCTGGAGGTTAAGGCCCGGAGGAAGGCGTTTAATCAGCCTTTGCATTTCCCTGCCCCGGCAGCATCTAGGCTTACATTTTCTTGCTTGTGTCTGTAGCTGAAGGCGTCCACCCCAAGTTCCTGCATTTTCTCCTGCTGATCCAGCCGGTGCAGCAGGTCCTGCAGCCGCTCAATGTAGCTGATGGCGCTCCGCAGAATCTCCACCTTGGGCAGCCTCTGGTTGGGGTTGGCCACAGTCCGCCGCTTCAGTGCCTCGAAGGCCTCGTTGATTTTCTTTAGCCTCCTCCTTTCGCGCAGGGTGGCGGCTTTTCGCCGGTCAGTGGGGGCAGATTTTCTCTTGCAGGTCTTGCAAGCCCAGATAAGACACTGGCCGGGGCAGTGGGGAGGCTGCAGACCCGGGGGCGCCAGGACATGTTCCTCTCCACTGCTGTCGCTCCCTGCTTCCGGGGGCACTTGGTCTTGGCAGGGGGACAGGGTACCATCACTCCCTGGATACAAAGGAGAGCCTTCTGCCACTTCTAATGGCTGCAGAGTAACATTTTCCCCATCCAAGTAGAAGAAATAGGAGCCAGTTTCAAAAAGGTCCATCATCATGTTCTCCTCCTTGGCCTCTGACTCGATCTGAACTGAGTGATGGACTCAAAAACCCAGAGGAACCACCCAGATGGCATTTAATTAGTCCAGTGACATAAGTCGACCCAGCTTTATATATAGTAGCTCCTGAAACTCAATCCAACTTTTAGCTGTCATGGAGCATCCGTCTCCCAATGTGATTGCAGCTAGCGCTCTCTAGAACATCTAGTTTGAAAGAAAACTGAGAACTGTCACCTCCCAGAGTGTTGTGACAATCTATGTGCAGACCAGGTTACACAGAATTAATCACATAATTTAAACAAAGGATTGAACACTTCCATTTTGGGCATTTTAGATACTAACCTGCTTACAGGACAACTTCAGAACAACTGGGGATTAACATTGCCCTATTCTCCTCCCCCTGTGCTCCTCTGAATTCTAAGTATAGACCCATGATGAAAGATTTCAAAGGCAATAGCCATTGCTCCAAAATAGCCTGGTTAATATTTGCAGAGTGGTTCAGCTCCTTTCTCTCTCCTGCCTTTCAAAAAGATGCTATTCCTGTGATTAAAACCATTACAGTCCTTCAAAGGTTATACATGACTTTCAGGCTTCAGCCTCAATAGAAGCAGGTAAATCTCTTTCCTCTCTTTTACTAAGGCTGCAAGGTGATTTGGGAGCTGGAGGGGGTGGCTGAAGAGTGCTCACAGCCCATGATACTGGATGAAATGATACCCTGGGTCCTTCTATGGAGACTGTCCTTACTATCTTTTTTTTTTTTTTTTTTTTCCTTTGGGGAGAGGGGCAACAAGGATCTGAATTCTGTACCCTTCCATTTGTGGAGCAGTATTACATATGAGGTAGAGGGTGGGATAGAGGATGGGGTTGCAATACAAGTAGTAACTCCTCCTTAAAAATAGTTTTAGTGAAAACAAGACTCACACCACAGCTACTTGATATTTCAGCATTTACTTGTGGTCCCCTTCAAGGTGGCTCTCTTATGACTCCAGTTCTGCATACTGTGTGCTCACCACTTTTTCTATTGCATTCTCACTATGCATTGACTGCAAATAATTTGTTTGATGGGATTTAAGTGAGAAAAGTAGCAACCAAGGCATAGACAAGGAAATAGCATTTTTTACATTGCAGCTTGCCCATGATCCAGTAGACACATGTATTGTTCTTTGGGATAGGGTACAATACAAAGGTGAAGTGCAGGGGCCCTGGATTCCAAAGAACTCTCTTCAAGTCCTACTAAGGTTAATTTCTATGTATATATCCATAGGTAAGTACTAGATCTTGAGTATTCAAGATAACAGTGGTTGCCTTACGGAGTTTTGGTGAGGATTCAATCAAGTAATACCATGCACGTGAAGCATATAGCACATAGCTGCTTGGTGAACAGTAGTTATCAATTATAGGATAAAGCCATGCTAGGCCAAACACACATTTCTATGAATGAAATAAAGCATAGCTGTTGCAGAGTTTTTTTTTTTTTTTTTTTTTTTTTTTTTTCCTTCATTTTTTTTTTTTTTTTTTTTTTTTTTTCTTCCATCCCTCTGTTTTGTTGTTCTTTCCTTTCCTTTCCCTTTTCCTCCTAGAGCTCTGGAAGGATTTCCTATCTGTAAGTGGCCTTTGGAATGACAGTCAGCCTTGGTTTTGGTCTTTATAGTCAGTGCCTGAAAAACTACATGGAAACATGGAATCTTATTGCTCTACCCCAAGGAGTGATGATTATAAGCTGTGTTCTTTGTGACTTCATTTTTAAAAATGAATAGAGCAAAGATAATGCAGGAAATCAACTGTCAGATAATTTAGATAATTTTTAACTTAAGTCGCCTTTTCCAGAAGATGATTCTTTACAGTTTTTATTGAGCCACAGACTTAGGATGTTAAGTTTTGACATTTTTGGCTGTTTTTGTTCCTTACCAAGTTTAATAACCATTCTTAGATTTTTGGAATGATAGGAAGCAGAGAGAAGAGTTATAAGAAGCCAATACATCTCCTGTGACTTTTTTTTTTTTCTATTTCTTGGTTTCTTGGTTTTCTTGGTTTCTTGGTTGCTCAAGTCAGCGATCAAAACTGCAGATTGAAAGTTTCAGCAACTCAGGATATAATCTAACATCTATTATAGAAAATCAGCTTGTGCTCTTAACCATACTTTACGCTGTCTCATAAATGTAAACTGCAGATTGAAAGTTTCAGCAACTCAGGGTATAATCTAATGTCTATTATAGAAAATTAGCTTCTGCACTTAACCACACTTTATGCTGTCTCTTGCAAATGTGAAGACAATTTGAAAAGTGAACTAAGATTATTATGATAAAAATCATTAAGATCATGAATATTAAAATGACTATTTTTTTAATTCAGCATTTATTGGGTATCTATCAAGTGCCAGATAGTGTCCTGGGTGCTAAGGATAAAGCATTAAAAAAAATCTCTCTTCTCATGGAGTCTGAATCTAAAGTGGTGAGTTAAATTAACAGATCAAACAGGAGAAATAGCCTTGGAATTGGGATGGAAAAGGCCTAGATTATAGTCTTTTGAGGCCAGTGAGGATTTAGTCAACTCTACTATCTCAAATCCTCAGATGTTTCATCCATAATATTGGTATGATGGCAAAAGACATCCATATTCACAGGATGTTATAAAAATTAAATTTTTACAAATATGAAGTCCACTTGAAAAATGTAGCATTCTCTCTAAAAGTACTTTTATTATTGGAATTAGTATTTTCAGAGGAGAAAAATATCACTACTAAGCAATTTTGAAGCCCAGGTAAAGAAATAACATTTAAGGCATAACCATTCTTAGACTCATCACTGATTTTAAGAGGTATCAGATAGATGTTGGAAAGCCTGCACATCATAAGCCTGCTAAAAAATATGAAAGTTCACCTTTTCCTTTTTCTGTTTCTTTCATTCAAGTGTCACCACTGGAGAAAGAGCCAGTATAGAAATGTAGAAAGAGAATTATTTGTTTAAAAAAATGTACATAAAGCTTTGGGATGCTGATCAAGAGCAACTTCTTAGGCAAGGGTAGCTTTTATTGGTGTAAATTCAACCTTCACCTATTGAATTGTTCCTTATTAAATTATAAATCCCCTTTTTCAACATGGTCTAGAACTCAGAGCAGTAAAGTTAGTATGAGTGTTCACCTTGGTTTAAACAGATTTTTCCCCCTTTTTTGTTGTTGTTTTGAGGGTTGAGGCCAGGAGGTGGGAGGAGAAAACAAGGAAATGCAAGCTTGGGAAAGAAACATCCTTTATTTGATTAGGTCAATGGGAAAATACGCACTGATTCCAAACTACTAACTAGTGAACTCTTGGAACTCAAATTGTTTATAAAATATGAGATGCCTGTAATTGCAATTATATTACTTCTCAGTAGAACTTGGAGACACAGACCTTGGCAAGTGGTTAAATCAGGTTTATGTAAACTGCAACTATTTAAAGCTTGGAGGCAAGCTTTAAATTGTTCAAATTTTTTTGAATTATGAAAAAAGTAAATGATAATAAGGGAATAATCTTATTAACATTAATAAAATCACTCCAAGGAAACTAGAGTTCATTCATCATAAAATCTGAAATCAGGTTAGTGATAGAATTGGAAGTTTTCATGTAGTTTATCACCCTATTCTTACTTCCTGCTTAATCATCTATAAATGACTTTTTTCCCTTCATCTAAAAAAAAAAAAAAAAAAAAGGCTGAGTGTTTCCCATTCTTTTCTGTGGAAAGAAGTGGGAGAAAAAGTATTATGGCTAGCTCATATCAGTAGATTTTAGCTATGAGTCTTTGGAAGGGTTGCATATATGGTAGAAAGAGAAGAGAGCTTTGGAGAAATAATCTGTGTTCTAGCCATTCTTAAGTATGTGTTTCTAGCCATAGTTTCAACAAAAAGCATATACATTATGTGTATCATAGGCTTGCTTTTAGCACTAAATGAAATAATATATGCTGAGCCCATGGTGTGGAACATGTACTCAACAAATATTAATTCTCCTTCTACTCAATTTGTAAAGCTTCTGATGGAAAGAGTCATAGTGAATTCATTGAAAAACCTAGATTTGGTGAGAAAGATATTGCTGATAAATTTGGACATTTATTTGTGTTAAGGTAAAAATATTGAAGCTAGTCACTCTAGTAACAGAGTTTAATTTATTTATACACTCATTACATTTCCAGTTTACTGGGGGACAAAGATACTAACTAAAAGTCACACAAATGAATAACCTAGTTAGGAGCTTTGAAAGAAAGGAATGTAGTTCTGTAAGGGTGTGTAACAATAAAATCCCTCCTGAACAGGAAACTGGAGAAAAGGATGGTTTGGGAACAGAAGTTCCTGAGACATTGTGGTGGTATTTCTAGGGAACAAAGTTCAAGTTTTTGGAAAGCTTTTGGAAAGTATCAGGATGATGGTGAAAGTCAGAGAAGAAATAGACACAGAGACACAGATGTGTGTCAGACACTAGTGAAGAGATTTGTGTGGGTGATAGCTGGGGGATTTGGCTACATAGTCAAGCTTCAAAGAAAGCAGATTGAGCCATAGCTGAAAAATCAGAACTGAGGGCCAGATCGAACATGATTATACTCTTTCAACTATGAAAATATAAGAAAGAAAAGGGGGTAGAAGAAAGGAGAGAAAGAGAGAAGAGAAAGAGGAGCCAAAAAGAGTGAACAGAACGCAGGCTAGCCCTCAGGGCAAAGGGTCACCTAGCAAGGGCAGAGAGTAGTCATAAAGAATAGACGATAAAGGAGGAGCCCGCTGACTGAAAGGCAAAACTCAGAAGAGGCAGATTAGTGCTTTCAATTTGTGACAGCTAAATGAGTAACATGAGCTTCTGCACCTGTAATTTACCTAATCGGCAGACAGTTTGTGCCCAGAGATTCCCAAACACTGTGGTAAAAATAGTTTTGCACTTAGACCAACAGAACATTTGAGTCACTTCAGAGGACCTGGGGGAGGGGCATACCAAACGGAGGAAAAGGAAAGATATTAAAGGCGAATCCTCCGCAATCTTCAGTAAATGGCCGTGAGAAGTTATGCACAGAAATGGGGCTGGACCTAGATAAGGAAGGGCTTCGGTTTCCAGGCCCACCATGAAACACCCTTTTAAAAAGAGCACCAAGGAAATGAGCCTAGATAGAACACGCGAGGGAGGAACCAGCGAGGCTGCTCTTCAGACAGTTCAAGAAACACATTTTTGCTCTTTGCTCTCACTCCCAATTCCAAAAATCTGTGTTCAGTCATGTACTGAGCTGCAAAACGATACTTAAGGAGGCTGCTGTTCATTTCTTAAATCTTAGGCATAATTTACAGGGAAGGTGACAATGAATGCTGTTCTCCCCAAGAAACTCATATTCCTCAGTGCAAAAAATGAAGGCTTGTTCATTATTCTGCACCTCCCTCCCCCTGGTTTTATTCAGATTTCTGAATTTAAGAGTAAAATTTGGGAACCATTCAAATTTTTTCCGGGTTAAGTATTCCTTCTGGTGAGGGGCCAACTGGCAAGGTTTGCTTAGGACTGAGCAGGTACCCAGGAGGCCAAATTTTCAGTGCTAAAACTAGGGAAACCCTGGACAAGTCAGAAGAGTTAATCACTCTATTTCCCAGAAAAAGCCCATAGAAA